TTTTCTAGAAAATATGAATAAAATAAATAAAGAAACGATGATAAGAAATAATAAAATACTTTCATAAGATTTACAGTAGAACATGCTAAGCAAAAAATTAAAAAATAAGAAAAATATCATAAACCCACTATTTAAAATGTGTTCCACTTTTAAATCACAATAAAAATCCATCATACAAAATGGTTCATTAATTTTATTTTTTCATATAATTTTCCTACACATTTTTTCTCGTTTTTTTTTTTTTTTTAATTCAACACATTATAGTAAAGTATTTCATTTGTAATATAAAGTAATAATCAAGTTTATTGAACTACATATTATTTTGCTATTTATGGGTATTTATGAAAATTATAATCATTATGTGTGTTTTTTTTTCATGTTATAAGGGGTGAGTGATATGAAGAAAAAACTGTAATGGGAGTGAAATAAATATTTAGTTTTTTTTTATTTATAATAAATTGGCTAATTAAACAAATAAATAAATTTTTTATGTTATAAGTTAAATTTATACAATATTTACTTTGATTTTAAGCGGACTAGTCACTTAATTTACTACTAGTGGTTAGCAAACAGGCAGAAATTGAAAATATTTGAACATTTTCTATAAAAAAAATTCAAAATATCGAAAATTTTCGATTTATTCTTAATAAAATTATTATAAAATATTCTATAGTAAATTCAAAATATCGAAAAGATTTTATAGAAAATGGAAAATATTGAAACATTTTCTGTAATTCAAAATATCGAAAATTTTCGATTTATTCTTAATTAAATTCAAAATTTTAAAAATTTGTTTAAAGAAAATTCAAAACATCAAATATTTTCTATAGAAAATGCAAGATTCTGAAACATTTTCTAGAGAAAATTCAAGTAATTAAATAATTATATTAAACAATTTTAAAACTTAAAACATTTTTTCTACAGAAACTTTAAGATTTGCGTCAAATACTTAATTTTGGAAACATTTTTATCGATTTCTTTTACATATTTATTAAAATTATTTATATATAATGTTTTTACATTGTTCATTTAGAGTTAATGTTAATCACACAACAAAATTTCCCAGCCCTGAAAGGCGATTGACAAGGATAGTTTCAAAGTGCCGGTTCACACTACGGTTCTATAAATCGACTTTCGAACAATCGACTTTTTGTCAAAAAAGGTCGAAAAGTCGAAGTTCACTATTTTCTTCCAAAAAAATCGATAACTCGACTAACGTCTATAAAAAGTCGAAGAGTCGACTTTGTAAATAGATAGTCGGAAAGGTCGAAAAAAGCCGAAGATAGTCGGAAAAAGTCAAAAGTTCACTATTTTGTTCCAAAAAAGTCGATAACTCGACTAACGTCTATGAAAAAAGTCGAAAAGTCGACTTTGTAAATAAATAGTCGGAAAGGTCGAAAAAAGCCGAAGATAGTCGGAAAAAGTCAAAAACTCGAAAATAGTAGAAAAAAGTCAAAAATAGTCGAAAATTCGAAAAAAGTGGAAAAAAGTCAAAAACTCTAATATAGTCGGAAAAAGTCGAAAATAGTCGAAAAATATTTGAAAAAAGACAAAACATAGTCGGAAAAAATTTAAAAGTCGAAAAAAGTCGACTTTTAATCAAATGACAAAAGTTGAAAAATCGACGTTTCGTTCTATTTTTCTCATACACAAAATCAAAAGTTTCCCAAAAAAAGTTTGCCAGTGTGAACCGGCACAAAGTAATCTGAAAAGTAGGGTTCTATAAATCGACTTTCGAATAATCGAACAATCGACTTTTTGTCGAAAAAAGTCGAAAAGTCGAAGTCGACTATTTTGTTCCAAAAAAGTCGATAACTCGACTATCGTCTATGAAAAAAGTCGAAAAGTCGACTTTGTAAATAAAAGTCGAAAAAAGTCGGAAAGTCGAAAAAAGTCGAAAAGTCGAAAAAAGTCGATAAGTCGAAAAAAGTCGAAGAAAGTCGAAAAAAGTCGAAAAGTCGGAAAAAGTCGAAAAGTCGAAAATAGTCGAATATTTTAGAAAAGTGGAAAAGAGGTCAAAAACTCTAAAATAGTCGGAAAAACTCGAAAAAAGTAAAAAATAGTCGAAAAAAGTCGATATAAGTCGAAAATAGTCAAAAAGTCGTAAAAAATCGAAAAGTCGGAAAAAGTCGAAAAGTTGAAAAAAGTCGGAAAAAGTCGAAAAAAGTCGAAAAGTCGAAAAAAGTCGAAAAGTCGAAAAAAGTCGAAAAGTCGAAAAAAGTCGAAAAGTCGAAAAAAGTCGGAAAAAGTCGAAAAGTCGGAAAAAGTCGAAAAGTCGACCATTTATAAAATACTAAAAGTCGAAAAGTCTAAAAGTCGACTTTTAAATAAATGAAAAAGGTCGAAAAGTCGAAAAATCGACTTTTCATAAAATGGAAAAAGTCGAAAGGTCGAAAAGTCGACTTTTAACTAAATGCAAAAAGTCGAAAAGTCGACTTTTCGTTTCAACTATAGAACCCTACTGAAAAGTAAACAACATTAAGAGCGTTGCCAGCCTATTGTTAAATATAACCACATGAGGCAAAAAATGGGTATTGGCAATTAAATGCACTTTAAACAAATTTTAATGAATGAACGGAAATATTTTTATATAATTTTATGGAAAATATGAAAAAACCTATTTTAAAACGTATGATAAATTAAATAAATAAAATAAATATTAATGTTTACATCAACAATATTTGTTGCTATGGCATATTTTTTGCTTATAATTCTTTTGTATTTTAAACAAAAATATACAATTGTTTAAAAAAAGTACATGCATTGATTTCTTTGCAAAAAAACTTTGTATTGTATTTCTAGAAAAAAATTAAACAATACAAAACTTCAAGGTCATTATTTATGAAATATATTTTAAATAAACAAACACTATAACTATTAAATATTAAAAAATATATTAAATAACCTACTAACATTAACACTATTACACCATTTCCGTTAATTTAAGAAAATTAAAACTAATTTAGATACTTAGTATTTTACTAATTAATAGAACAGAAAACAGTAATATATTTTTCTTAAAAAACAAACTGATGATATAAATAATTTTCTTTCCAAGTGTTATTATAAAAAACTTGCTATAAAGAATATGGTGTTAAACTGTAATATTAACCACATTAATATTTAATATCTTTAGAATTATTATTTTACTTATGAATGTAACTGAGATTAAATATAATCTTAATAGTATTTTTCTGTATTCATACACATTTCAACCACAAAAATGAATTATGCTTCTAATCACTTAAGTACTTAAGTCGCTCACTTCTCTCGGTCATTTCTACTATCAAAATTTTTTAACAAAAAAAAAAAAAAAAAAAAAAAAATTATCACAAACAAAACGTTTTCAACAAAAAAATTAAAACAAGAAAAAAATGGCCACGACGACCACATTAAATAATAAAATTTCGGCAAAAAAAGGCAATCAACTTCTATTTGAAATCCCCAAAATACACGCGACAATGACATATGAGTCATTATAACAATTTAACGTAATGACAAAAACAAAAGAAATAAAAAAGATTATAATTAAAATGAAACCTATTTGAAATGTAGTTATCAAATTATAGAAAGCTGTCATTAAATTGATTTCACTTTCAGGGTTAAATTAGATATTACGAGAAATTTATAGTAAAAATTTTACTTTGGGGTGGTTGTTAAAAGTAGGGTTCTATAAATCGACTTTCGAATAATCGAACAATCGACTTTTTGTCGAAAAGTCGAAGTCGACTATTTTGTTCCAAAAAAGTCGATAACTCGACTATCGTCTATGAAAAAGGTCGAAAAGTCGACTTTGTAAATAAAAGTCGAAAAAAGTCGAAAAGTCGAAAAAAGTTGAAAAGTCGAAAAAAGTCGAAGAAAGTCGAAAAAGGTCGAAAAGTCGAAAAAAGTCGGAAAAAGTCGAAAAGTCGGAAAAAGTCGAAAAAAGTCGAAAAGAGTCGAAAATTTTAAAAAAGTGGAAAAGAGGTCAAAAACTCTAAAATAGTCGGAAAAACTCGAAAAAAGTAAAAAAATAGTCGAAAATAGTCGAAAAAAAGTCGAAATAAATCGAAAATAGTCAAAAAGTCGTAAAAAATCAAAAAGTCGGAAAAAGTCGAAAAGTCGGAAAAAGTCGAAAAGTCGACCATTTATAAAATACTAAAAGTCTAAAAGTCGACTTTTAAATAAATGAAAAAGGTCGAAAAGTCGAAAAATCGACTTTTCATAAAATGGAAAAAGTCGAAAGGTCGAAAAGTCGACTTTTAACAAAATGCAAAAAGTCGAAAAGTCGACTTTTCGTTTCAACTATAGAACCCTAGTTAAAAGGGGAACTTGTTGTGGTTTGCGAATACAAGATTGTGAATGAATTACAGAGAATTCTGTAAGTAAATGGGAAATTTTAGTTTTATTGAAAAATTGAAAGAGGTTTATATAATTCACTCAGAGTATTAAATTTACCAGCCCTGAATGGCGACTGACAGCAAGAATAGTAGAAGTGAAGAAAAAAGAAGAAATGTAAACAACATTAATAGAGTTACCATGCTCTTGGGAAACAATAACACATTATGTGGAAATGAATTGATAATAAAGTGCAATTTTAAACATTATTTTTGTAAATTTACAGTTAATATTTGAATATAATTTTAATATAATAAAAAGATTTTAAATAAATTGTTTATAGAAATTTAAAGATATTGATAAATTTTCTATATAAAACTACAATTATGGATAAATTTTCCTAAGAAAATTAAAGTTGTCCATAAAAAAAGTTAACATTTTTATAGAATATTCATGTTACCAAAAAATAAGATGAAGTTTTCAGTTCAAACATTAACAAAAACTGTTATATTTTGCAACAAACATTTCATAATTTTGTTAATTAAAATTGTCATAGTAATTAGTATAGTAAAGCAAACAAAATGGATATTTTTGCAATTGTACAATAACAACATATACTAGAGTTAACTTAGAAGTTCTACCTATAACAAATTATATAATTTTTTTCATCTTTTTTCTTTTAGCATTCACTTTTTAACGTAAAAAAGCTTCAGACTGTTTTATTACAATAAAGTATGACCTTACCAACACGTCCAGCTCCCGCGCCACCTGGATCACGAGCACAAAATGCAGCGGCGAATGCAAATGCTAGTCTAGAACAGTTACGTCTACAATTACAACAGCAACAACAATTACAGCGCCAACAACAGCAACAAAATGTCACCGTACCAAAGTTAACAATCAAATTACCACCTCCACCTAAACAACCGTTGACAACAAATGCATACAATGGCGTTAGCGGTGGTTCGATTAATAACAACACAGGTTCAATCACACGAAAATTTCCCCAAGCACGTTATGCACCGGCTACCAATTGGGATGATTCACCCTTTGATATTTTAGCCGGTAATAATACAGGATTTGGTGGAGGAATGGCGACAACGGCAACGAAAAATCAAACTCAAGCCACAACAAATGGTAATTATAAAAAACAACCACCACCCAGACCTCCACCACCTAAAGTGCAACCGAAAAAGGGTGCCGCTCCCACGCCACCAATACAACAATCTACCAATATTTTAACAAATATATTCCATCTTAAGAAAAAATCCTCCAAGGCGCCAACACCTAATAATTCCGCTTCAAGGATTTATGGATCAGCCACTTATGGTACCACAACCTCCACAACAGGGTCTTCGAAAAGCAACACAACTTCACTACAAACCAATGGATTTTCGCACACAAGTTCTTTGACTACAGATTGGAATAGTGCCTGGAATAATACAGCCTCCTCCACTATGCAAACAACACATCAAACTGCTACCACAGAAGCTCAATTGATCAGTTTTGATTCACCTCCTAGTTCACCGACATTTACACAAAAATCTAATAGCGATTGCTTAAGTGTGGACAGTTTTAGTTCGGACTCTAACTTCAGTTCGCCCAACAATGGTTCGGTTTCACAGCCAGAAAGTGGTTTTGAAGATGATTTTTCCGCCTCTGCGGGACGTTCTAGGCCAGCCACCACCAGTCCTTTAGATCCCTGGGAAGCTCTAGATGCCTTTGGCCATTCCGAAGCGGCAGCATCAACAACTACACAACCTCGTTATGGCAGTATTGGTACTGCCCCCGTAAGAAATCTCAGCACAATCAATACACGTCTTCAGAGCAATGGTGATAATCCTTTATGCAATGGTAAAAGTTTATTACCACCAGCGCCCACGCTCAATATGCCCACAATTATTAAACCGAAAATTTCTCAGAAACCTAAAGCGCCCAAACCACCACTATTAGCTAAACCCTCAGCTTTTGGTTCCTCCTCGCTATATTCAGATAATTTAATAACTCCACCCTCTCCGCCTATGCCTCAATGTGCTCCACCTCCTCTACCACAAACAACATCAACATCTTTTGCAGCCTCATCATCATCGTCGGCAAAACCAACATATTCTATACTAGATGTTATTACCGGTAAAGTGGATGCCACGCATTTGAGTTCGGGAATGGATGATTATAATAGTGAACCTTTGGAGCCGCCACATGGTATTGCTTTGTATGATTTTGATAGTACGGAAGAGGGAGATTTATGTTTTAGGGTGAGTAACAAATACAATTTTTAACGAATAATTAAAAAAATACCTACGAAATTGCAAGATTTCGCACTATAGTTTATAGATTAGTCTAGAAACTAGTCCAAAGTCTTGTCTATAGTAGTCTATAGTCTTGTCTATAGTCTAGTCTATAGTCTAGTCTATAGTTTAGTCTATAGTTTAGTCTATAGTCTAGACTATAGTCTTGTCTCTAGTCTGGTCTATAGTTTAGTCTATAGTCTTGTCTATAGTCTAGTCTATAGTCTAGTCTATAGTCTAGTCTATAGTCTAGTCTATAGTCAAGTCTATAGTCTAGTCTATAGTCTAGTCTATAGTCTAGTCTATAGTCTAGTCTATAGTCTAGTCTATAGTCTTGTCTATAATCTAGTCTATAGTCTAGTCTATAGTCTAGTCTATAATCTAGTCTATAGTCTAGTCTATAGTCTAGTCTATAGTCTAGTCTATAGTCTAGTCTATAGTCTAGTCTATAGTCTAGTCTATAGTCTAGTCTATAGTCTAGTCTATAGTCTCGTCTATAGTCTAGTCTATAGTCTAGTCTATAGTCTAGTCTATAGTCTAGTCTATAGCCTAGTCTATAGTCTAGTCTATAGTCTAGTCTATAGTCTAGACTATAGTCTAGTCTATAGTTTAGTCTATAGTCTTGTCTATAGTCTAGACTATAGTCTTGTCTCTAGTCTGGTCTATAGTTTAGTCTATAGTCTTGTCTATAGTCTAGTCTATAGTCTTGTCTATAGTCTAGTCTATAGCCTAGTCTATAGTCTAGTCTATAGTCTAGTCTATAGTCTAGTCTATAGTCTAGTCTATAGTCTAGTCTATAGTCTAGTCTATAGTCTAGTCTATAGTCTAGTCTATAGTCTAGTCTATAGTCTAGTCTATAGTCTAGTCTATAGTCTAGTCTATAGTCTAGTCTATAGTCTAGTCTATAGTCTAGTCTATAGTCTAGTCTATAGTCTAGTCTATAGTCTAGTCTATAGTCTAGTCTATAGTCTAGTCTATAGTCTAGTCTATAGTCTAGTCTATAGTCTAGTCTATAGTCTAGTCTATAGTCTAGTCTATAGTCTAGTCTATAGTCTAGTCTATAGTCTAGTCTATAGTCTAGTCTATAGTCTAGTCTATAGTCTAGTCTATAGTCTAGTCTATAGTCTAGTCTATAGTCTAGTCTATAGTCTAGTCTATAGTCTAGTCTATAGTCTAGTCTATAGTCTAGTCTATAGTCTAGTCTATAGTCTAGTCTATAGTCTAGTCTATAGTCTAGTCTAGTCTAGTCTATAGTCTAGTCTATAGTCTAGTCTATAGTCTAGTCTATAGTCTAGTCTATAGTCTAGTCTATAGTCTAGTCTATAGTCTAGTCTATAGTCTAGTCTATAGTCTAGTCTATAGTCTAGTCTATAGTCTAGTCTATAGTCTAGTCTATAGTCTAGTCTATAGTCAGTCTATAGTCTAGTCTATAGTCTAGTCTATAGTCTAGTCTATAGTCTAGTCTATAGTCTAGTCTATAGTCTAGTCTATAGTCTAGTCTATAGTCTAGTCTATAGTCTAGTCTATAGTCTAGTCCTATAGTCTAGCTCTATAGTCTAGTCTATAGTCTAGTCTATAGTCTAGTCTATAAGTCTAGTCTATAGTCTAGTCGATAGTCTATAGTCTATAGTCTAGTCTTAGTCTAGGTCTATAGTCTAGTCGTATAGTCTATCTATAGTCTAAGTCTATATCTAGTCTATAGTCTAGTCTATAGTCCTAGTCTATAGTCATGTCCTATAGTCCTAGTCTATAAGTCCTATCTATAGTCTAGTCTATAGTCTACGTCTATATGTCTAGTCCTATAGTCTGAGTCTAGAATCGTCTAGTCTATAGTCTAGTCATCCTCGTCTATCGTCTAGTACTATCGTCTAGTCTATCGTCCTAGTCTATTCGTCTAGCCTAACTCGTCTAGTCTAATCGTCTAGTCTAATTCGTCTAGTCTAAATCGTCCTAGTCTATCGTCTAGTCTAATCGTATCCTAGTCTATCGTCTAGTCTAATTCGTCTAGTCTATCGTCTAGTCCTATCGTCTAGCGCTATCGTCATAGTCTAGCGTCTAGTCTATAGTCTAGTCTAGTCTATAGTCTATAGTCTAGTCTATAGTCTAGTCTATAGTCTAGTCTATAGTCTAGTCTATAGTCTAGTCTATAGTCTAGTCTATAGTCTAGTCTATAGTCTAGTCTATAGTCTAGTCTATAGTCTAGTCTATAGTCTAATCTATAGTCTAGTATATAGTCTAGTCTATAGTCTAGTCTATAGTCTAGTCTATAGTCTTGTCTATAGTCTAGTCTATAGTCTAGTCTATACTCTAGTCTACAGTCTAGTCTATAGTCTAGTCTATTGAATTATTAAGCATTTTCGAAAGAAGAAATTATCGAAATTTTCTAAAATAATGTTTGTTTTAATTTTTTCAGGAAAATGAAAAGATCTATTTAATAGAAAAAGTTAGTGAAGAATGGTATAAGGGACGTACACGATCCGGCTGTGAAGGCATTTTCCCGATAAATTACATTGAAATTAAAGTGCCACTTAACAGTAAATCAACAATATCAAGTGAAAATTCAACACAATCTTCTTCGCCCTCCACAACACCAACATATCAACAAGTCACATCAGCGGCAAATTCAAGCAATTTGAAAGTACGTTCTTTATACAATTTCCCAGCCGAAGTAGAAGGTGATTTGGAATTGAAAGTAAGTGTTAAATTAAGAAAATGTATTTGAATTTTTATAATAATTTATTTTCTGTTTCGTTTTATAGGAAAATGATTTGGTAACAATATTATATAGAATAAATGAAGACTGGTTGTTTGGTGAAGTTAACGGTCGCCAGGGACAATTTCCAGCTAATTTTCTTGAATATGTGCCCACTAATGTACCAATGCCTTAAGTTTTAAACTAAAAAGTAATATTTACAAAAACACACACACACACTTATCTACAAACATATATAAACTTGAATAATTCCTAAATATTAATATGCAGTAGTTTTAGAAAAAAATCAAAAAAATACAAAAAAAAGTATGAAAAGAAGATATTAAAATTTTATTTAAAATTGAAAATATTTAACATAAATTACTAAAGATATAAAAGATGTTTATTTTCCTATACATTAAAACAATTTATATACAAAAATATTATGAAAACAAACAAACAATTTACATTAAATTTATTTAAAAAATCGTAACTATATATTATTAATTGTCGATATCTTTTTGATAAACGAACTAACTCCTTTTTTTGCTAATTGTATTTGTATTCCCTTTATTATACTCTCAACTTGTAATGTATTATTAAATTTATCAAATTAAATTAAACACAAAAGGTCACAATTCTAATTGTTAAGTGTTTCTTAAAATAAACTAAAATATAACTAATCTCCCCCTACTACCGCCGGCTTATAATTAAAAACAAAAAGTTTTAAAATGTACTCCTTGTAATTTGTAAATAGAAAGTTTTTCTTTTTTTTATTATAATTAAATTAATTAAGTTTGTAATGTTTATAAAGTAAAGAAAAAAGGAAAATCAAAATGCTTTTGCTAATTGATATTACTGTGTGCCCATTTTATATTTTTAGTTTTGTTTTAAATTAATTGCCGCCTATGTTAAAGATTTGTTAAAAAAAAAATTAAGAATTTTTGAAAAAAATGTATTTTTGTTTGCAAACTAGTTTTTCTTTAAGAATTGTGAGTTTTTTTCTTTTTAAATATTTATAAAAACAAAATAGCTTAAAAACAAATAAACGAAAATAATTTAAAATAAAATATAAATAAAATTTTGCAAAAACAAAAAGAAAATTGTTTAAATTTATATTCTGGTTAATAGTCTAATCTATATTCTAGTCTATAGTCTAGCCTATAGTCTTGTCTAGTCTATAGTCTAATCTATAGTCTAGTCTATAGTCTAGTCTATAGTCTAGTCTATAGTCTAGTCTATAGTCTAGTCTATAGTCTAGTCTATAGTCTAGTCTATAGTCTAGTCTATAGTCTAGTCTATAGTCTAGTCTATAGTCTAGTCTATTGTCTAGTCTATAGTCTAGTCTATAGTCTATAGTCTAGTCTATAGTCTATAGTCAAGTCTATAGTCTAGTCTATGTCTAGTCTATAGTCTAGTCTATAGTCTAGCTATTGTCTAGTCTATAGTCTAGTCTATAGTCTAGTCTATAGTCTAGTCTATAGTCTAGTCTATAGTCTAGTCTATAGTCTAGTCTATAGTCTATAGTCTAGTCTATAGTCTAGTCTATAGTCTAGTCTATAGTCTAGTCTATAGTCTAGTCTATAGTCTAGTCTATAGTCTAGTCTATAGTCTAGTCTATAGTCTAGTCTATAGTCTAGTCTATAGTCTAGTCTATAGTTAGTCTATAGTCTAGTCTATAGTCTAGTATATAGTCTAGTCTATAGTCTAGTCTATAGTCTAGTCTATATGTCTAGTCTATAGTCTAGTCTATAGTCTAGTCTATAGTCTAGTCTATAGTTCTAGTCTATAGTCTAGTCTATAGTCTAGTCTATAGTTAGTCTATAGTCTAGTCTATAGTCTAGTCTATAGTCTAGTCTATAGTCTAGTCTATAGTCTAGTCTATAGTCTAGTCTATAAGTCTAGTCTATAGTCTAGTCTATAGTCTAGTCTATAGTCTAGTCTATAGTCTAGTCTATAGTCTAGTCTATAGTCTAGTCTATAGTCTAGTCTATAGTCTATTAGTCTATAGTCTAGTCTTAGTCTAGTCTATAGTCTAGTCTATAGTCTAGTCTATAGTCTAGTCTATAGTCTAGTCTATAGTCTAGTCTATAGTCTAGTCTATAGTCTAGTCTATAGTCTAGTCTATAGTCCAGTCTATAGTCTAGTCTATAGTCTAGTCTATAGTCTGGTCTATAGTCTAGTCTATAGTCTAGTCTATAGCATAGTTTATAGTCTAGTTCTATAGTCTAATCTACAGTCTAATCTATAGTATTATCTACTGTCTAATCTATAATCTAGTCTATAGTCAGGTCTTATCCTAGTCTATAATCAGGTCTATAGTAACCTATAGTCTAGTCTATAGTCAGGTCTACAGTCTAGTTTAGTTTATACATTAGTCTAGTCCCGTCTATTCTTTAGTCTATAGTCTTGTCTGTAGTCTAGTCTATAGTCTAGCCTATATTACCCGAAATGAAAATCGTTCATATTCTTTTTAAAACCTTTTTGGTTATTGAAATATTTTATTTATTAAATTTTATTCTATAAGAATCATTTTGTCATCATCTTAAAACCTAAAAATACTCTTATTTGTTATATTTCCAATTGATTTATGTTCATTTTTTTTTTTGTTTCAATTTATAACTCCTCGTGTTTAGAGGGGAATTTCTTTAGAATAGCATGATAAAGATTATAAAAAGCATATACCGAAACGGAAACTATAACGAGTAAAGCACCACCAAAAGCCATACTTAAGAAATTACCATCTATAATGCCGGCTGAGGTGTGACGGCGTGTGGACCAGATTTCTTCAGTGCTAGCAGGATTCTGTTGTTGTTGGGCGGTACGATCAGCCATTAAACGTTTCATGGTATTTAAACGTTCACGTAAAACTTCTACGGATTCATTGTTTAAATCGTCTTGGAAAGAAAAGAAGAAAATAAGGAAGGAAAAGTTAAACTCAAACTAAATTGAGAAAAAAACTCTCTAAATACCTCCAGCTCCAGGAACATTTTGATAGTCCGACATTTTGTTAAATTATTTATTTTATTAAAAGTTTAAAAAAAATGTGATTATTAAAGAATTTTTCTTATTTTGTTAGAAAATTTTCTTTTCTGTTTGCTAAGGGATGCTGTTTTTTTTTAATCTGGTTTACTTTAAGTAACAGCCTTAAAGTATGCAGCATTTTAGGCGCATGCTTTATTAAAATTTTATACATACATTGCCACATCAAAAATAAATGTTATTACATGGGTTGTTTAATATGGCAACTTTTATATTTTATTGACATTTGCTTTTGTTGCGATTTTCTAAACATTGTTGAACATGTTTCATTCTGTTATTTGTATACAAGTAGTAAACACGTGCAAAGTGGCGTTAAAGTTTTTTAAGTGAATTTTTTCGAATAAAAAAATAAATTTTTGTATAAAATTGTTAAAAAAAAAAAAATGGGTTTAACTAAACAATATTTAGCTTATAGAGCTGTAGATAGTTTTAATATTATCGCCAGTGGTCGCAGTAATGTGAATTTTGTGATTTATAATAAAATTGAGGGTCGCTATGTGGTGGCAGCCGCTGCTGAAAATGTTATTATTTGGGATTTAAGGTGAGTGGATAAAATTTTAAATTACTTTTTTTTTAAATAAAATTTGCATTTAAAATATATGAAAAAGTTCTTGAAGAAAGCTTTGCCACTTTACTTTTAGTGTCCAGGAAAATGTTTTTAATTAGATAGGAAACAACATTTGATATTTTAGTAATTGCCTTTTTCTTTGTATTACCCACTATGTTTCGGCTGCAAGATATGTTTCCTCTAGAGCATATTTGTTGTCAAAACAATTTTTTTTTATGGAGTAGTGTTTGTTATAAACTAATAGCATAATCATTACATAGGATAATAATTCGATTATCTTTCGTATGACAATTGCAACTTAGCTCCGGAATAATCCGATTCCCAATTGTCATCTTAGCGACATCTGTATCAACTAGATTTTTTTATTAAGGATGAACTTTCAGCGGCATTAGAATTGTTACAACAACAAAACATTCGAATATATTTTATGTGTCTTTAGGAAGTTTATTTTTGTGCGATAGAGCCGCCATTGTTTTAAATTTAAGGGACTTAGGTATATAGTGATCAGAAGAGGTTTATAAAAGAGCGAGATTCTTATAAGAATGTTAGATCTGAACTTGAACTATAACTGAACTATATCTGAACTAGAACCGAACTATATCTGAACTAGCACTGAACATTTGTTTACATTTCATCACAACATCACATATTCATTGAACTCATCAATCCGTTACTTTGCACGCTTCAAACTAAGTTTAAGATCTTCGAAATAATTTTTTTTTATAATTCCCCCAAACCAACTTTCCACTTTTTTTTACCTAAACAACAGATTGGGCGAACGTGTTGTAACCTTTAGACGTGACAAACAGGAGGTAACCGCTCTACGTGTATCACCCGACCGTCTTCACATTGCTATTGGCTACAATGATGGTGTAGTGGAAATTTTCGATTTAACCAATCCTGAAGTTTCAGTTTGTTCCTTAGCTGTACACAAATCGGCCATATCCATCTTGCGTTACGATGAACAGGGTATACGTCTAGTTTGCGGCAGTTTAGATTGTGAATTAACGGTAATCGATGTTATCGAACAGGCTGGTAGTCAACGTCTTATTGGACACAATGCTCCCGTAACTGATGCTCACTTTATGGAAAAGTTTAAAGAACAAAATATAGTGGTTAGTTGTTCTAAGGATACACAAATTAAATTCTGGAATTTGGAAACTCAATTTTGCTTTAAAACTATTGTGGATAATCGTACTGAAGTCTGGGCTTTGGCGTTTGTTAATGATCTAATGATAGCCGGTTGTGGGGAATCTACCATGAATGTATATCGCTTAAAACCTAGAGATGTTTCACAAACTGAAAATCAAAATTTGGAAGCTGCTGTTGAGGGTCTGTCCATAGATGATGAGGATACTATTAGTCCCATAACGGTATTAAACTGTGGTGTTATACAACGAGCTGGCAAAGGACGTTGTGTTAATTTGGTGGCAGATGTTTCGGAAAAAATAATATCTTGTCATGGTACTAACGATTTGATAGAAAATTTCTATATTTGTAATGAAGAGGAGGCTAAAAAGCGTTTACAGAAAAGATTAAAGAAATTTAAGAAATCATCCGAGGCGGAAGACAACAATGAAGATTTTTCCAAAGAGTTATCACTATCTGATGAAATTAAAAGACTGGAGAGCATAAAGGTGAAACAAAAGATTAAATCTATAGATGTTTTATTGGGAGCCAAAGATGAATTGAGAGTTTTGGTGAGTTTGGCCAATAACACTTTGCAATTGTATAGTATGGAGGCTGCTTTTCAAG